GCGGCTCGGAGTGGCTCCGCGGGGCTGGCCACGGCTGGCCGTGAAGTTGGCGGCTTTGATGCTCTCTTGTGCCTAGCACCTGGCAGGGCTTGCTGTGGGTGTCCTCGCGGGAGTAGCAGGGCCGCGTCTGGAGCCACCCACTCCCCCGCCCGGTCCCCCTGCGTCCATCAGACATGCCCACAGTCTCCTGCACTGCCTGCAGGTGTGTGCATGGCCGGCGTGGCGATGGACTGCCCGTCCCTTGGGGCACCGAGACGGGACAGAGCCTTTGTAGACGGGGACACCAGAATCCCCCTCTCCTCTGTACCACAGGGGTGAGGAGCTGGGAGGCTGTGCACCCCAAGAGGCTGCCAACTATGGCGCCCAGAGACCTCTAGGGGACCCACAAAGCCAGGCCCCCAGGTCAGTACAGAGAGAAGGCTGGCCGCTCTTTCTGCACGATTTCTCAGAGCCCAGACACATTTGGTGACCTGTGCGAGGGGGGGAAGACTTGTCCCAGTCCTCCCTTTCAGGACATCTCTGGCAAGCACCACGCAGAGCACACTTTGCCGAGGCCATGTGACAGTGCTAGGGCACCAGTCAGGGCCCCTGCCGGATGTGCCCGCCACAGCTCCACCCTGCCTCCGTGGAGTCTGCGATGGCAGGCTCAGAGCAAAGGCACTGGGGTGGCCATGACCCCGGAGAACCTCCAACCTGCCTTTCACACCCTCTAGAGAGGCTTTGGCAAGTTGCCCAAATCTTGCCCCTGCTCGGTGACGGAACTGGTCAGAGCCCAGTGCTCTGGTGGCTCCCAGCAGAGGAGTCTTTGTGCCCGCAGCTTTGGGCCCCTCCTGGGCTGCAGCTCAGCGGCCCCACGGTCACCTGGGCCTGGTCTCACCTCCTCTTGCCACTTCTGACCCTGCAGGGGGATGCGGGCGTCACTGGCCGGAAGATCATCGTGGACACCTACGGGGGCTGGGGGGCTCACGGCGGCGGGGCCTTCTCCGGGAAGGACTACACCAAGGTGGACCGCTCAGCTGCCTACGCGGCCCGCTGGGTGGCCAAGTCCCTGGTGAAAGCAGGCCTCTGCCGGAGAGTGCTCGTCCAGGTAGGCCAGCCCCGCCTCTGGCTCACCTTGCCTTCCGTCCAGCTGAGGGCCAAGCCCTGCTCTCCTCCAGGCCAGGGGGCGGCTGAAGGTTGCAACCCCATCTGCTGAGGCAGGCCAGCTCTCTGTGGCACGGGGGCACGTCCAGAAATCCCTCTCTGGATGTAGCAGGGACTTCTGGGCCTTCCTGAGGACACCCAGTCCATGAGGGCGCCCCGGCAGAGGCCTCGGCTCACAGCCAGGTCCTTTCCGAGGTCTCCTACGCCATCGGTGTGGCCGAGCCGCTGTCCATCTCCATCTTCACGTACGGAACCTCTCGGAAGACAGAGCGGGAGCTGCTGGACGTGGTGAATAAGAACTTTGACCTCCGGCCAGGCGTCATTGTCAGGTGAGAGCCCACCTCGCTGTGGGCGTGCAGGCCCTCGCTCCTCCTTGCCCAAGTGCTCAGCTCCGCTGAAAGGAAGGCAGGACCAAGGACGCCAGCTTCCCATGGCAGGAGGGAGGGCCTCCGCGCCCAGCCCTGAAGGAGCACCCCAGTGCAGCACCCTGGTTTTCAGGCTGCAGGAGCTCACCTGGCAGGGACCTTAGGAACAGGATTAGAAGGCCAAACCGCAGGGACTCAAGTCGGCACGTCAATCTCCATGTGCCACCCTGTGTCCTGGAGCCTGGCACGTGGGCTGGGGCGGTGGAGATGAGAGGCTGAGTTCAGACCCTGACTCCTGGCTGCGTCTGGGTGGCCCCTGCCCCTGGACCTCTGACCCCTCTCCTACGTCACAAACAAGACAGTGTGGTGCAGAGGACACGGATGTACAATTGCCGTGGGTGGCGGAGTGCCACGCACGGATGCTGTCACAGTCAATTAACTGCTCCTGGGCAGACCTGGAAAAGGACACCTGCTCCTTTGCCATCGTAAGATGACCCTTCCTCCTGCTGACCACGCAGGGACCTGGACCTGAAGAAGCCCATCTACCAGAAGACGGCGTGCTACGGCCACTTCGGGAGAAGCGAGTTTCCGTGGGAGGTTCCCAAGAAGCTTGTGCTTTAGGGCTAAGAGGCAGAGCCTGGTCTCACCTGCCTCTCCAGGGCCCCCAGCTCAGACCTGCCAGGTCTCTCCTGGGCACCCCACACCTCTCCCGCAGACCTCTGTCCCTCCTGGGGGCCCCCGTGCCCCTCCTGCAGATCCCTGTCTCTCCTGGGGGCCCCTGTACTCCTCCCATAGATCCCTGTCCCTCCTGGGGCCCCCCCATACCCCTTCCGCAGATCCCTGTCCCTCCTAGGGGCCTCCACACCCCTCCTGCAGACCCCTGTCCCTCCTGAGGGCCCCTGTACCCTTCCCTCAGACCCCTGTCCCTCCTGGGTGCCCCCACACCCTTCCCTCAGACCCCTGTCCCTCCTGGGGCCCCCCACACCCCTCCCACAGATCCTTGTCCCTCCTAGGGGCCTCCACACCCCTCCTGCAGACCCCTGTCCCTCCTGGGGGCCCCCGTACCCCTCTCGCAGACCCCTGTCCCTCCTGGGGGCTCCCGTACCCCTCCCACAGACCCCTGTCCAAGCATCACCAGGAATGGCAGGACAGGTGCTTGCTGGTGCTGAAGGCTACATCTGCTGTGAGGACAGTTACAAAGGCCCCAGCTCCTCCTTCGGACCAGGGCAACATGGATTTAGTGGGAAAACCACCCCATGGAGAATGAACCCCTCAGTCACCTCCCCCACGGCCTGGACTATGACCAGCCTCTCCCGGGCCAAGGTCAGCGGATCTCAGGGCTCAGGGCTCCTTGCAGGCCTGGCATGGTGGGCTCCCAGCACACCCGTGGGCGCACACCAGAGCCAGGGCCTTTGCATCCGGAGTGGGAGTGGGGGCTGGTGTCCCTCAGCTGCCCTGACTGAAGAGCAGTGCAAGGGGCTGAGGTAATGGCGGCCCCATCTCTTCTTCCTGTGACAGGCTGGGGTGGCACTGCTCAGCACTCCCACTAGTAAGTGGGGGTCCGAGGCACCGACACTTGGGTAACTTTCAGGCACCAGGGGCCCACACGCCCCATCTGGTGCCAGAGACAGGCCTGAGTGGGGACGGGACAGACTGAAGTCAGCTGGGACTTTGCCCTGAAGGCCTGGGGTCCCGGGAATTCCACGATTAACCCACTGGTCCTTGGAGAGTCCTGGGCAAGGGTCTGCAAAGTCAAAGGGACCCAAAAGATGGCCTTGCTTGTCCTGTTCACCCCACAAGGTGGTTCAGGCTGAGCTGGTAACCCTGTCTCTCAGGCCAGGCTCGAGTTTGGGGCCTTATAATCCCAGCTCCCCCAAGCACTCAGACACATGCAGGCCTCATCCGAGAGGCCGGGCGCCTCTGGGCACAGTGAGCCAGCACAAGCCCCATCTGGGCTTCCTGGAGCAGGGAGCCAGCCCCTAGACCAGGCACCAGACCTCGGCTCCTCCCGCCTCGGCCCCTCGGACCCTCTGCAGGCTGAGGGCTGTTGGGGGACTTGGAACCCCCTCCAGAGAGGCCGGTCCTGAGGTCCAGACTCCTGATGCTGGATAGACCCAGCTGGCAGGGCTCCTGGTGACGATCACCCATGATGCATGGGACAGTCTGCCCTCCCTGGTGGCTCTTGGGGCAGGTCCTGGCCCCCCCGGGCTCCTGCCTTCCCACTGCCTCGCTGTCCTGGGCCTGGGGCTCTGACGGCAGCATTTCTGGCTTCTCCGCAACTCCCAGGACCACAGCTCAGGTGGGGCCTTCATGGGCCCTAGAACTCTGGGCACTTGGCTTCTTTCCAGAGCTGACGATGCTCATTCTGGCTGCGGTCGGGGGCAGGGGTGCACAGGACCCCCAGTCGGAAAGCAGCCTGCTTCTGTTTCCACGACGGAGCGGGAAGTTCATTCCGGGCAGCAAAAGAAGCCCAAAGTGCCACCAACCCAGAGCTTGTGCGTGAAACGGAAACTCCCCTCCCCATGGGCTCCTGGCTACCCAGGAGCCCTCACGTTGCTTCCAGGAGACAGGGACAGTTTGCAACGGCTGAGTTCCTATTACTTGGGCCATATTCAAAGTGGAAAGTTAAAATGTTATACTGTCCCACTCCCTGTGTAATGAGATCTTCTTTTGCGTGTTTTCTGTCAGCATTGTTTGATGCTAAAGCCTTCATTTGTCGATAGATCCTGTGTGGACAGTGAATAAAACGGAAGGAGCCACCGCCTGTGCCCAGGTTTTATCTGCAAAGCCCATACGCCTTTTCTGTAGCCTAACCTGTCTCCCCCATCCCAGCAAAATCAGTGTTCTTCCATTAGGGTAACCCCACCTGGGGCCCTCTGCTCCGGTCCACGTGGGACATGTCCCTCAGCAACAAGGCTTTGCTCATCCCCAGCGACTACACTGACTCCTCGTCCTCTCTCACTGCCGTGGACAGGCTTAGGAAAACACTGGGTACGGGACGCCCAAGAGAGGTTAAGGACATGATAGGGCGCCTGGCTGGCCAGCGACTCCTCTGTCTCAGGGTGTGCTCTCTTTAAAAATATTTAGTTTGCTAGAGGATACATGCTCTCACCAGAGAGACAGAGAGAAAAAGCAAGCACCTCCCATGTGATGTGGCTAAGCCACAATCCCTTCCTAACCTTGCCATCCTGTCAGGGTCTGGGTGCACAGGTGAATGTGCCTGACACGGTTCTCAAGTCCCCAGGGCTGGGATTCGAACTGCATGGTCGGCCAGGTGGATACAACTTCCTTAACCACCAGGCCATGCGGCCAGTCCCAAGAATACTCTCTAGTCACATGCAATGCCCATCCCAAAGGCACCCCCCAGACCCTCTGTACTAGGCCCGACATCGCCTGCCCTGCCTGCCATCCCGCTGTCTGTCCTGCTCCCTGGTCACGCATGCTGTCTCTGGTCCTGCCCACCATCCCATAGTCCCTCCACCCTGAGACTGGCACATGCAGGACATGAGGTCACGTGTGTGGAATGGTCAGCTCGAGGTCATGTGTGTGGAATGGTTGGCTTGTGGCTGAATCCCAGGAATGGACACGTGAGCACAGTAGCTGATCTACAGAGTACGGCGAGCCTTCGTGTGGAGGCACGTTCCTGTCCCGCGAGGTCAGCTGTGGGAATAGACAGATTATTCTTCTCCGTCGAGACTGCCTTGCAGCAGCTCCGTGGTGTGGTCTGGCAGGTTTGGTCAGAGCCAGCGTGAAGGTGGACTGGCCTGGGGTTTCCTGCTGGCCGGGCTGTGAGAAGGGTCAGCTCTGGTCACCGCCCGCTGCAGGCTGAGGGGACACCGGTGTGGCTCCCCCAGTCACCAGAGATGAGAGAGGAGGTTTGGGGTGCGGGAAGGGCCAAGATGCAGCAGAGACCGGGGCAGGAAAGGAGAGGAGAAGAGAGGAAAGAGGCAGAGGGAGAGGAGCAATCCCAGTCTGACCTGAGACAGTCTACCTGAGGGACTCCCACGTGGGAGAGCGAGGGAAAAGAAAGCACACTTTACTAGAGCACGTATGAACGGCAAGGCTCTCACGTCGTCTGCGGAATGCTTGCCTGTGAGAGAAAACCTCTGTGGACGTAGAGCAGAGTACCCAGGTCAGACCGTCCGGGAGGTGGACGTGGCAGAGGGAGGAGAGTGTGGCACAGTGGGAGGCAGCCCCAGCGGTGGCGCGGCCTCAGAGGCCAGGTGAAGACAGCATTTCCAGGGGGAGGGGCGTCCACCGTGTGAAGGGACACTGACGCCAGCCCAGGGGTGCACGTGAACTCAGTCACCTGGAGGAAATGCCATCATTGAGGACAGTGACACGACCCCACTTCCCGCCCTGAGCAAAGGCCACCAGTGTGTCTGATACACTGAGAATACAGTTCAAAGTGGAGGACCCGACTGTCACCACCCAGCATGCCTGCCAGTTCCCCCTCTACCCTCGGGACTCCGCTCCCCCCGCCCCCACCCTCGAGGCCCCATGGTGCTGGTGACGTCCCCAAACAGCCAAGCTCAGACCTCGGGGCTCTGCTCATGTCGTGACAGCTCCAAGTCACCGCCAAGGTCCAGGCAGTCTCTGCTGGAAAGTGCCTTCCTCGAGAAGCTCTCTGTCCCACTGCACTGTTGGCATATTGCTCAGGTGGTCCACAAGGCGCTGGTACCTCTCTCTAGTCTAATGCCCTGGGGCCATCCCATCACTCACGTGACCCCTTTCAACACCAGTCACCACACGACTCTTCCTCCAGGCCCTGCCAGTCCAGCTTCCAGGCCCCAGAGAGGCACCCCCAGACCCTCTGTAACTAGGCCCGACATCGCCTGCCCTGTACTGGGCTCTCAGAGTCTGTCACTTGTAAGTAACCAGATATTTATTCATTGCTGATAATGCCACTGCGGGACTAATAAGTCCATAATTAGTAATAATAATAGTCAGTCAGTTCACACACTGCAGATGGTGAGCTACAGAGTGTGTGGACCAGGTAAGAAGTGATTTTCTTCTCCAGACCTGCTGGGGGATAATAGACACATTATATCTTTCAAGTGTACAATGTGAGCGTTCGCTGTGAGAAGTCACCACAGGGCCAGGCGCAAGGGCCGTGACTCCGTAGCGGAGCTCGCCGGTTTCTGTCTGTTGCCCCTTCGGGTGAGCCCTCGTGCCTGGCTCCGAGGTTGGCCTGGCTTAGTCCGCGCGTAATGTACTGCTGGTCCCAGAAGTGAATTTCAAGGGTACCCATTTCCCCTGCCTCTGGACTCCCTTCGCAAAGAGGTTCTGCAAGGTATGAGAGCCCTGCCAGGGACGAGGCCCTCGGGCGGGTCCTAGCCAGCTGAGGAGTCAGAGACGGGAGCACGGTCGTGGGCAGAGCTGGCTCGCTGTCGAGAGTGTGGCACTGCGACCGTGAGGATGCGTGCGACAGTCACGTCTCTACATGGAAGTGGTGGTGAGAAGACCCTGAGGGAAGCACCCCATTCCCCTTGATGCTACCTCAGGGGCAGGCCCTCTGGAAGCGTGCCCTGCAGACGGAGCTGGGAGCCTGGTCTGGAGGCGCTGTCTTGGAGCTGGTGGTGCTGGAGGAGAGGGGAGGTGTGGGAGCTCCAGGGACAGGATGAGCAGGTCGGCCGTGCTGGCTGGGAGGAAAGCTGTCGGTGGGAGCTTCAGAAGACATGTTTGCTGTGACAGCCCTGAGCAGGTGCACCTGGAGAGGCATCGGAGGTGATGTGACACTCATGGTCCCAGGGCACAAGGCTGGGGCTCAGCTGCTGAGCCAAGGACACTGTGAGCACAGAGGCCTGCCTGTCGGGCTGGCCCAGCGCCACATGGGGCAGAGGATGGAATCCCACTGCACTGTTGGCATATTGCTCAGGTGGTCCACAAGGCGCTGGTACCTCTCTCTAGTCTAATGCCCTGGGGCCATCCCATCACTCACGTGACCCCTTTCAACACCAGTCACCACACGACTCTTCCTCCAGGCCCTGCCAGTCCAGCTTCCAGGCCCCAGAGAGGCACCCCCAGACCCTCTGTAACTAGGCCCGACATCGCCTGCCCTGTACTGGGCTCTCAGAGTCTGTCACTTGTAAGTAACCAGATATTTATTCATTGCTGATAATGCCACTGCGGGACTAATAAGTCCATAATTAGTAATAATAATAGTCAGTCAGTTCACACACTGCAGATGGTGAGCTACAGAGTGTGTGGACCAGGTAAGAAGTGATTTTCTTCTCCAGACCTGCTGGGGGATAATAGACACATTATATCTTTCAAGTGTACAATGTGAGCGTTCGCTGTGAGAAGTCACCACAGGGCCAGGCGCAAGGGCCGTGACTCCGTAGCGGAGCTCGCCGGTTTCTGTCTGTTGCCCCTTCGGGTGAGCCCTCGTGCCTGGCTCCGAGGTTGGCCTGGCTTAGTCCGCGCGTAATGTACTGCTGGTCCCAGAAGTGAATTTCAAGGGTACCCATTTCCCCTGCCTCTGGACTCCCTTCGCAAAGAGGTTCTGCAAGGTATGAGAGCCCTGCCAGGGACGAGGCCCTCGGGCGGGTCCTAGCCAGCTGAGGAGTCAGAGACGGGGAGCACGGTCGTGGGCAGAGCTGGCTCGCTGTCGAGAGTGTGGCACTGCGACCGTGAGGATGCGTGCGACAGTCACGTCTCTACATGGAAGTGGTGGTGAGAAGACCCTGAGGGAAGCACCCCATTCCCCTTGATGCTACCTCAGGGGCAGGCCCTCTGGAAGCGTGCCCTGCAGACGGAGCTGGGAGCCTGGTCTGGAGGCGCTGTCTTGGAGCTGGTGGTGCTGGAGGAGAGGGGAGGTGTGGGAGCTCCAGGGACAGGATGAGCAGGTCGGCCGTGCTGGCTGGGAGGAAAGCTGTCGGTGGGAGCTTCAGAAGACATGTTTGCTGTGACAGCCCTGAGCAGGTGCACCTGGAGAGGCATCGGAGGTGATGTGACACTCATGGTCCCAGGGCACAAGGCTGGGGCTCAGCTGCTGAGCCAAGGACACTGTGAGCACAGAGGCCTGCCTGTCGGGCTGGCCCAGTGCCACATGGGGCAGCGGATGGACCACTCTGCGCCCACCCCTCAGACTGGGGAGGAGGCCCCGGGTGGGCGTGGTTTCCCTCCACTTGGTGGGGAAGGCAGGGGGGTCATGCCCCCAGTCCAGTGCCTGGTCCCTGCTGCTCTGTGGGCTCCCGGGCCAGATTTCTCCTCTAGCCAGCTGGGCGAGTTCTCCAGGGAAGCCTTGGGCTCCAGTTCTGTCCAGGTGTCCAGAGGCCCGGAAAAGGCAAAGCCCAGCTGCCCCACCTGCAGGTCTGCCCCAGACCTGCCCACCCCAACCCTGGGGGCTGCAACCACATCCTGACCACCTGCCCACTGTCCTCCTTCAGGCAGCATGGGCCCCAGAAACTTGGTCTTTGCCTGGGCTGAGGGTTTCCAGTGCAGACCCTGGCCAAGCCCACTGTCCCCGCCCACCCTTCCCAGGTGCTGGCCCTAGAGAGTGGGGGAGCCAGCAGTCAGTGAAAGAAAGGCGTCTGCAGAGACAGGAGGACCACCCTGCAGTCGCTTCTGGTTTGGAGACACTGGGAGCTCTGTCGGTTTTGCCCTGGGATTGAGGAAGGCCAAAGCTCAGAGGGGCCTGGTGACCTGAACAGGCCCAGCCTGGGGTCTAGAGCTTCAGAAAGTGGTTAGGTTTGGGACCAGCAGATGGCGTGATGGCTATGTTGCTGGACTCCCATGTAGTCAACTGTGGTTCGAGT